GCGAGATGCCTGGAATTGACCCCGAGGTCACTTGCCACAGACTGAGTGTCAACAGGTCGGCAAAACCTGTGATTCAACGAGCCAGAAGACCGACGTTGATGCACGTCGAAGCAGTAGAAGAAGAAGTAGATAGACTTCTGGAGGCCAGGGCCATCCGAGAAGTTCACTACCCAACTTGGCTATCCAACACAGTAGTGGTGAAGAAGAAGAATGGCAAATGGAGGGTTTGTGTAGACTTTACCAGCCTCAACAAAACCTGCCCCAAAGACAGCTTTCCTTTGCCCAAGATTGACCAGCTCGTAGACGCTACTTCAGGGCATGAAAGGATGCGTTTTCTGGATGCATACAGGGGGTACCACCAAATTGCCATGTACCCTCCAGACGAGGAGAAAACTGCGTTCATCACCCCTAAAAGCCCATACTGTTACAAGGTAATGCCTTTTGGGTTGAAAAACGCAGGAGTAACTTACCAAAGGTTAGTAACAAAAATGTTCAAACACCTGATTGGTAAAACGGTAGAAGTCTACATCGATGACATGGTCGTGAAGACCAAGGAATCTAAGGGTCATCTTGCCGACCTAAAAGAGGTCTTTGATATACTCAAAACATACCGGCTCCGACTCAACGCATCTAAGTGCGCGTTTGGAGTTGGATCAGGTAAGTTTTTAGGGTACCTGGTAACGAGAAAGGGCATTGAGGCCAGCCCAGACCAAATCAAGGCCATCCTAGAGCTGCAGAGCCCGACGTCGGCAAAACAGGTTCAGATGCTTACTGGAAGGGCCGCAGCCTTAAACAGATTCATCAGCAGAAGCTCAGATAAATGCAGACCCTTCTTCAACCTGGTGAAAAAAGCCACAGACTTTCTGTGAACAGAAGAATGCAAAGCCGCTTTAACCGACCTAAAGAAATACTTGACCACAACTCCGGTTCTCTCCAACCCAGAACCAGGGGAAGAACTGTTTTTGTACTTGGCAGTTTCAGAACATGCAGTAAGTGCAGTACTAATCCGAGAAGAAAAATGGGAGCAAAAGGCTGTTTATTATGTTAGTAAAACCTTGGCCGATGCAGAAACAAGGTATCTACCACTGGAGAAATTAATGCTAGCCTTAGTAATGGCTTCAAAGAAGTTGAACCATTACTTTCAGGCGCACAAGATTATGGTCCTAACAGAGCACTCACTGAAGTCCTTGTTGCAACAAGGAGACTTAACAGGAAGGATAGCAAGATGGGCAGTAGCCCTGGGCCAGTATGACCTGGAGTTCAGGCCACGAACAACAATTAAAGGCTAAGTTTTGGCCGACTTCGTGGCAGAATTCACACCCGAAACCATCGAACATCGGGCTCCGTTGAGCCAGGATGAGCATTGTCCCAGCAAGCAAAAAGAATCCCAGTCTAGGGCAAAATAACATAGGAAGGAAAAACTCAGACCCTGCAGCATCTACATCGGCGATTCATTCAGACTGTTCGTCGATGGAAGTTCAAACTGACAAGGAGCAGGGGCAGGAGTACTGCTGATATCTCCAGATGGAGAAATAATAGAACAGTCCATCCGTTTGGGGTTCAAGGCCTCAAACAACGAAGCGGAATACGAAGCATTAATTACAGGGCTAAAACTGGCAGCAGCAGCAGAAGTAGATGAGGTAATAGTTTTTTGTGATTCACAACTTATTGTTAACCAGTCCACAGGTGAATTTGCAGCTAGGGACGAAAGGATGTCAGCATATGCAAAAGAGGTCATCAGATTGGCAGCCCTATTTCAGAACTGCCGACTACTCCAAGTTAGCCGAGATGACAACACCCGACGTGTTGGCTAACCTAGCAAGTTCAATGCAGACTAGAAAAACAAGGACAATTATGATCGACTATATGTCGGGTCCGAGCATAGAACCAGAGAACACAGAGCAGCAAGCAATGTGTGTGGACATGGGGCCAAGCTGGATGGATGCAATTGTTGCATTCCTGAAAGAAGGAAAGCTACCAGAAGATCGTAAGGAGGCACATAAAGTCAGACTGAAATCGGCAAGATTCTGTCTGACAGAAGATGGACACCTCTACAGAAGGTCCTTCACTGGACCACTTTTAAGGTGCGTACACCCTTTACAGGTTGAAGATTTCCTGTATGAAATTCATAAAGGAATTTGTGGAAGCCATACTGGGGGCAGATCATTAGCCCACAGGGCCATTACCTAGGGGTATTGGTAGCCCTACATGCAGAAGGATGCTGAAGCCTACGTAAAAAAGTGTGAACAATGTCAAAAGTTTGCACATTTGATACATCAGCCAGCTGCTGACCTAAACCCAATGTCCAGCCCTTGGCCGTTTGCCCAATGGGGCATGGATTTGGTTGGGAAACTTCCCCAGGCAACTGGGCAGAGAAAATACTTACTGGTGGTAACAGATTACTTTACAAAATGAATAGAGGCAGAACCTCTTGCCAAAATCCGAGATGTGGACGTCAAGAACTTTATATGGAGAAACATCATCACCAGATTTGGGATTCCAAGAGCAATAGTTGCCGACAACGGAACACAGAACTTCCCCAGGCAACTGGGCAGAGAAAATACTTACTGGTGGCAACAGATTACTTTACAAAATAAATAGAGGCAGAACCTCTTGCCAAAATCCGAGATGTGGACGTCAAGAACTTTATATGGAGAAACATCATCACCAGATTTGGGATTCCAAGAGCAATAGTTGCCGACAACGGAACACAGTTTGACAGCAAACTCATCAAGAACTTTTGTGCGAAATTCAAGATCAAGAATTACTTTTCAACACCAAGTTTTCCCCAAAGTAATGGGCAAGCAGAAGCATCCAACAAAGTAATTTTGGATGGAATAAAGAAGAGGCTGAAGGCAGCAAAATGAAAGTGGGTAGACGAATTGCCCAACGTACTTTGGGCATATCGAACTACGCCGAGGAGATCAACAGGGGAATCCCCCTTTGCTATGGCTTATGGCACAGAAACAATCATCCCATTGGAGATCGGCATCCCAGGGATCAGAACTCAGAGAGTAGAGAATGGCACCAATGATATAATCTTAGCCCGAAATTTGGATCTTTTGGAAGAACGAAGAGAGAAAGCTGCAATTCAGCTCGCAGTATACCAGCAACAGCTTGCTAGAGCTTACAACAAGAAAGTCAATCCAAGAGATTTTCAAATCGGCGACCTAGTCCTAAGAAAAGTCGTCGGCAACAAGAAAGATCCCGGAGAGGGCAAGCTTGGCCCAAACTGGGAAGGACCCTACAGAATTACATCGGTATTAGGCAATGGAACTTATCGGCTTAAAAATAACGAGGGCAAAGCACTGCCAAGACCTTGGAATACTTGTAATTTGAAATTCTTCTATCATTAGATGTGCAGAATTTTTGACCGATGTTATCAATAAAATCTTTTTCCTTTTTCTTTAAAACACATATGATTGATAAAATTACATATTGGTGTTTTTTGAGACATGAATAATGAGAACCCAAGTAGAACTCAGGTTCACATTGGGGGCAGCGAGAAGACAGAGATTATTCCTTAATTCACTTGTTGAAATTTGTAGCAATTTACAAGTTGGAATTAAGCCGATTCCTTATCTTCACTTGTTGAAATTTGTAGCAATTTACAAGTAAAAGTTAAGCAGAGATTATTCCTTAATTCACTTGTTGAAATTTGTAGCAATTTACAAGTAAAAGTTAAGCAGAGATTATTCCTTAATTCACTTGTTGAAATTTGTAGCAATTTACAAGTAAAAGTTAAGCAGAGATTATTCCTTAATTCACTTGTTGAAATTTGTAGCAATTTACAAGTAAAAGTTAAGCAGAGATTATTCCTTAATTCACTTGTTGAAATTTGTAGCAATTTACAAGTAAAAGTTAAGCAGAGATTATTCCTTAATTCACTTGTTGAAATTTGTAGCAATTTACAAGTAAAAGTTAAGCAGAGATTATTCCTTAATTCACTTGTTGAAATTTGTAGCAATTTACAAGTAAAAGTTAAGCAGAGATTATTCCTTAATTCACTTGTTGAAATTTGTAGCAATTTACAAGTAAAAGTTAAGCAGAGATTATTCCTTAATTCACTTGTTGAAATTTGTAGCAATTTACAAGTAAAAGTTAAGCAGAGATTATTCCTTAATTCACTTGTTGAAATTTGTAGCAATTTACAAGTAAAAGTTAAGCAGAGATTATTCCTTAATTCACTTGTTGAAATTTACCGAGATCACTGTTTGCAAAGTACTTGTTGAAATTACTTGTTGAAAATACTTGTTGAAACTTAAGAAAAAGTTTGCAAAGTTGACATTGAATAGTATATGTTTTACACTTGTTGAAACTTATGAAAAGATTGCAGGTCAGTATCTTGCCGAAGTAAAGCTTGTAGTTATTACACCTGAGATATGTAACCCCGGGAAGATTGCACAAGTAAGAAAAGAAGTATGTAAATCATGCAAAATATTCTAAGTATATAAACCACGCAGAAGCAATCAAAGAAAAGACAAAGATTCAAGTGTTAAGAAAAGGAAAGCTGAGTTAACATTTACAAAATTGAGAGGCACGTCGGCCACGCAAAAGCTTACATTGTTCAGAAAAAGATAAAGGAAAAAAAAAATACAAGTAAGCAAAAGAAGAACATAAAGCTAAGGGTCTTCTCCTCCAGATTGTTGGATTTGGAGATCAGATACAACCTCGGCCTCCTTCTCTGCCGCTATTTCGGCGTCAATTTCCTGAAGAGTTTGTTCGACAGTCTTAACCTCGGAAGGGATGACGGCTGGAACAGTGTCAGGAACAGCTTCAGGGATAACCTCATCACCTTCTTCATCTTGAGTCAAGTCAAGGACTTGCTCATTCTGAGGAAGGGACTTAGCCCCATCAGCATCCTTTGGTTTTCTGACCAAAGGTTCATCCTCTTCCTCATCGGCATCCTCAGACTCAAATTCAGATTCTCCTCCGGGTTGACTTGATGGAGGAGGAGGGGGGAACGGCAGAGGAATAGCATCGGCATTGCGGAAGGGAAGGGTGAGTCAGCAAGAAGATCAAGTTTCTTTATCAGGGACATCCAACCAAGGGAGAAGCCCCTGTTGCAGGCCTACCTGACTTGAAGTTTATACTCCTCAGTAACGTCGGCCATACCCTGGGCGTAGGCCTTTTCGTCGACCGCCTTGATTTCGGCATTTTTAGTAGATAAAGCATCTTGAAGTTCCTTTTCCGCCTGGGCCTTTTTGTCCTCGGCCTCTTTCTTCTCGGCCTCAGCAACCTTTCTAATAGCCTCGGCAGATTCAGCCTTTTCCTCGGCAAGGGTTTGGGCTTTGGTGGCAGCCTCAGCCTGGTCTTCCAGTTTTTTCATCTTTAATTGAAGAGATTTGTTTTCCTTTTTAAGGGCAGAAACCTCTCTCCTCAGATCAACCAACTTTGTCCTGTTTTCAAAAGCTTGCATGGAAAACGAATGGGCATGCTGAATGGCCTGAAAGAAAACAGAAGTGTTAGAAAATATCTTAAGTATGAAACAGAAAGAAAGTAGAAAATTCCAAGCAGGAACACTTACTTGAACGGAGTGCTGGAGCATTAGAGCGTAATTCTCGTACTTACTGTACTCAGCATTTCGCTCGAGGTCACCCGGAAGAAGCAACGCCGTGCTGAGGGCAATGCCGACATTTATGTCGTCGGCACTTTCACTAGACATAATTGGCCTGTCTTCCAAAGTAATTTTGGGAGCCCAAGGGACATCCGGTTTCTTGGACCCCGAGGTAGTAGCTGAGGCCAATCTTGGTTTTTTTGTCTGTGTGGACTCAGAGGGTGGGTTTTCAGCAGACCTTTTTGCAGAAGCAGAAGAAGTCTTCTTACTCTCAGCCAGTTTAGAGATGGACAGAGCATCCTCAGCCTCAACCTCAGTAGCTTTGGCCTTGGGCTGAGCTTTTTTGATTCTTTTTGGCTTTGGTGGGGGCATGGTTTGCGTCGGTTGAGCGTCAACATCCGTGGGAAGGTCGGCTAGGAGATCTTGGGCAACAGGCTTCGGGCGACCCATCTCAGCAGTTTTGACGAGTCGTCGCCGACGCTTTCTTTCTGGTATTGGGATTAAGTATGGGGCTGAAGTTGATGGTTGGTCGGCTGGATCCGAGGTTGACCTTTGGTCAGCCCGAGATGTTGATGCTATTTGAAGAGTGGTAGCAGAGGGAGGAGATAGGCTCTTCTTCTTTCTTTTTGGGACGTCGGGCAGTGTGGATTTGTATGTCGGAATAAAGTTCAGAAGGAGAGGTGCTTTTCTTTTGTGGACAGGCAAGTCCAGGAGCCTTTTCAGATCCTTGCTAAGAACGTAGGATTGGCGAAAGTCTTTCAGTAACTTACAAACGTTTGCAAGAAGAAACAAACATTAGAAACAGATTAAATATTGAAGACTTGAAAAGAAACAACTAAGTAAAAAAACACTGGGCTTTTACCCTTGCCCTCTTTAACCGTTCGAGGAAGAGGGTATAGATGGACATCTTCGTCTGGGGCAAATTCCCAATTTCCAGAGACAATGAAGTAGTCATCTCCAGCCCCCTTGTTGGAGTCTGGGAGGCTGGCTACGATTTTGAATTCAGTGGACCTCGGCTTGAGGTAGTAGACGTAACCTTTTTCCTTCAGGCTAAGGGGGCACATGGTGTAACAATATTGTATGTCGGCTAGGGTGATTCTAACGTTTTCTTGTCTGGCTAAGGCGATGATACCAAAAATCACTCGATAGGAGTTTATAGCAGGTTGCATAGGGTTTAGCTTATAATAATGCAGAATCTCGCGAAAAAGAATGTTAAGTGGAAGCCGAAGTCCACATTCAGTAAAAGCTACAATAGGGAGAGGCATGGTGTTTTCGGTAGGCATGATGGAGTCATCATCCCCAGCCAGTTTCAGGTGAACATCGGCAGGGACGGAGAACTCCTGCCTAAAGTACTCAAGTTTGGACAGGGTATCAACCCTATGTCTCCACATACCCATAACGTCGGCCTAAAGACAGAAAGCTAGGTTTTAGAAAGAAGGTGGTCTTAAGGGGTTATCGGGACCTCAACGAAACCCTAGGTATATGCTGGTAAGGATTGTTTCAGTTTTCTCTAAAAATTGAAGGTTCTACAGACAAAACCCAAACCTAAATCTATGAAGGCAAAGATTGAAAACAAGAATTAAAGGCAGAGATCTGGAAAACAGCACAGGAAACAAGAAACAAAGAATGACGTTTCAGAATCAAGAACAGGGGTATGGTTTTCAAAAGCGTAAAAAACAGAAATATAGACTCAAAAACAAAGGCAAAAAAGTATTGAAACAGTACGAGTGTTCAAGACATGAGTGAAATCATGGAATAAACACGTCCAGACGAACAGTTCAGCAAAATCAAAGGTTTGAAACAAAGCAATAATAGCAGCAAGTAAACGAAAGCACATAGAAGAAATTTGGAATAAGAGGAACAGAGGCTTACCAGAACAAATGAAGCCAGAATAAAAGGTCGCCTAGATAAGGCAACGGTTGCAGACACGACGGAACGGCGAAAGCTTCAAAGGGAAAATGAAGACGGTTGCAGAACTTGGAGCTAGAACAATGGCGGATTTGAGAAGGTTTAAGAAAGAGAGAAAGCCAGAAAATCGAAAACAAAAGTAAAGAGACGAAAAGAAAGGGGGAAAAGTTTTGTAAAAAAAAACTTGAAACGGCGGCAAAAGCAGGGCATTTATTACGCCTGGAGCAACGCACATGTCAGACGGCGCAGATACAGCTTTCAGGCGCGTCACAGACACGGGCCAATGAGGATAAAGCACGTGAGGGGAACGGTTGAAAAAAGGTGCATGACAGTTCATGCGCGTGGAGAAGTTCGTTTGAGTTCTTGTTCTTTGGTAAAGGCATGTCGGCCTAAAATGAATGATCTCGGCCAAAAAAGTTCTTACGCCGAGGTACTGAAAGAAAATACAGATATAGGTTCCATCACCTCAAAATGCCGAGGTAATAGAACCTAGGGGGCAGTTGTGGGGATTTGTGGGGATGTATTTTCTGAATACCAACACGTGGCATGGTGACGCCGACGTGTCAGCCGAGGTGCCACGTGTCGTGGTAGTTATGCCGAGGTTATCTTTGGCGAGGCCGAGGTGATCTCCGAAGATATCGGAATCTGAGATAGGCGGATAAATGGATAAGGGGCAAGAGTCCTAGGCAAAAGAGAAGACTTTGCTAGGATAATGATAAATCTCTTAGGGAGTTTATCTTTATCTCTTGAAGAGTCCAAAGTTGACATTGAATTGGAGTCCATAGAAGTCAAGCTTCTAGTGGGACTTGGATTGAGTAAACTATAAAAGAGAGGCACCCCCGTGGGTCTAAGGTACGCAGTTTCACACTTAAGCTTGTGAGTTTAGCACTTGATTATCTTTTAGAGATATACTGACTTGATCGTCGGAGTGCCCCCGGGTGGAAGAGCCACCGCCGGAGCCTTTTCTTTCTGTTGCAGGTTCACTGAAGCCATCTATTCTGCCAGTGCTCTCCAGCTGATTACTAGGCGGGCAGTGTGGTCAGAAAATCACCCACACATTAAATATAAAATTTGTAATATAAAAATTAGAATATGAATCACACAACTTTTTTTTTATTTTTATATTTTTATGTGTTTAAATGTTTGTCTTTAGCATCACTGTTAGCGCACCACTCCTCCTCTTCCTCCACCTTCATTAAATTGTTTATTTACACATATTTTATGCCTTAATATGCCATTAAATTTGAAATTAGGTTTAAAAGCTGGCAAATATAAAAATTAGATTATGAGTCCCACACTACTTTTTTTTTTTATATATGTTTATGTGTTTAAATGTCAAGTCTTTAACATCACTTTTTCCCTACTACTACTACTACTACTACTACTACTCCTCCTCCTCCTCCATTGCATTATATATATTTATATATTTTATATCTTAATATGCCATTAAATTTGAAATTAGGTTTAAAAGCTAGTAAATTGGATTTCTTTTATAAGTTAAAAAAAATATGATTCATAATAAAGTTTGAAAAATAATAAATCTGCTTCTTTTCGCAAAAAATAATCTGTGAAAAAATATTAAATATATTTATATATATCAATATTTTTTAATAATTAATCTTAGTATTAGTGTTGCATATTTAATTTAAAATCACATGAAACCTCTCTGTCACAACTATTATGTATTACTCTAAGCAGTCGTAATAGGTAAAGTCACTGTCCATTTTTTAAAAACACTACTTCATCATAGACAATAGTGAATTCACCGACCTTGCAACTTATAATTTGAATAGGTCCAAAAAAATGACAAACATCAAGTTCCAACAACATATAATAACAGAAATTTCACTTTCTTCTGCTATAAAATATGTCTTGCAGATGAAGTCCAGCACTATTATTTTTTTTCTTCTATTATTACCCAAATGAAATTTGATACATCAAATTACCATAGTTTGTTTTTGTCTTAATAAACTAAATTAAACTAAACTTTACTCCCATAGATTCATGTTTATAAGGAATTTGCCGAGAATTTTTATGTGCGAGTAATGGCATTTAAGATTTCTATATGAAAGTATGTAACTAATGTAATGTATTAATGTATGAGAAACACAAAACAAAAATATTCAAAACGTGGTTTGTTATAAATTAATAGAAGAAAAATAAGGGTTCATACCTTTCCAGACTTTTTGTGTAGCTCACCAAGAATAGAAGCCAACAAAGAAGACTTGCCTGATCCAACAGTTCCAACAATCGCAGCAAGTTCCCCTTTCTTGATCTCCAAATTCACCCCTTTCAAATTCACATTGTCGCCTTCATCGTCCCACGAAAAAGTCCCATCTTTCACCTCCACCGCGATCTCACCACCACACCCTTCCTCTCTCTCCACTGATTCATCGTTCAATTCCTTGCTTGTCAGAAAACCGTCCAACCTCCCTAGCGAAATCAACGCTTGTGTAACCGAAATCAATGATTGAGGGAAGGTCCTAACGGGTTCTTGTATAAGTCTCAAAACAGTTGTCGCTGTGAACACTGTCCCGGGTTCAAGACTAATTCCCAACAAAATCGCGACACCAAACACAAGCGCTGACATCAAAATCGGCATGCTCCAGAGGACAGCAAAGGTCAAAGAGATCGAGTACGTGAACTTGCTAAGCCAACCATATTCCTTTTCGCGACAAGATTCAATTCTCTGATTGAAATGTTCTTCCCATGCCTGGAATTTAATCACGCGCATATTGCTCAGCATTTCATTAGTAGCCTTGAGCCTTGAATCGCGGTTTTTCATCACAAAATACTGGAAAGTGTTGTTCTTGCGCGTGCGCATTAAACTAAAGATCAGAACTGCAGTAACCGCTGCCAACGCTGCAAGCGCTGAGAGGCCCATGTAGACATAAAGAAGCAGTAATGCAACCCCAAGCTGGAATGGCATTAGCCATATCGAATGAAGCTGCATCATGAGATCTGAGAGCTGTTGAGCATCGACAGCCATGTAATTCACAATCTGCCCAACCCCATGAGCTTGGCGTGATGAGCACGACAACCTAAGCCCCTTCTTATATAAAGCGGTGATGACTGTGCACCGGATTAGCATCCCAATCTTCTGAGAATGGAAATTGAAGTGGTGTGAACTAAGTACTTCAATGATTTTCGCGACTAAAAGGATCAATACTAGATAGTACCCCTCATAGGGGTTGCTTCCCTTCCCTGATGTGAAATCGACAAAACTGTTGATTAGCATGGGGCCGACATACATGACAAGCAGTTTCACGACAGCAAGAAAACCGGTGAAAGCAATGTCTTTCCAGAAGCACCGGATCAAAGTGGTTCGAACAGGGTTTTTTGAATTCTCCTCGGGTTTAGGCCAGTTCATTTCGAAAACCTCAGCCATTATTTTAGCCCGGTGAGCGGGCGAAAGTGAGGGAACTTCATCCATTTTTAGAGGGGATTTGTAGCCCTTACTCAACAATGGATTCATCCAATGCCAAGTCAATTTGGAGAAAAAAGAAGCCCTGGCATAGGCACTCACACTAGAATCAAGCAAATTAGGATCATTCACTTGTGAAATTGTTGAGTTTGTGCCTAATTCTGATTCTCCAACAACAATCACCCCAGATGATCCTCTAACACTAACAATCAAAAGAAATACAGATATTGGAAGGACTACCAAGAAAACTACATCATCCAATTTCATGGCAGGGTCAAAATCCCCACCAACGGTGATGAATCGGGCTATACCCGAGGCAGCAAACAACGATACAACAATAAAGTTTGCCACCCAATAGATCCGAAGGGGCATCGGATGAGTAACAGCTTGAAATTTTCTCTCATGGGCAATTAGGATCGAAATTGCGACATGGGTTATTGCTTGGAATAACCAAAACAAAGCTTCTGCGAGCTTCCATGGAGATTGGGTGCCTTGAACGAAGGCTAAAATGCATAGAACAGAGAAACATATTGATAACAGGGCTGTTAGAGCTAGAGAAATGTACAGCCATGTTGTGACTCTGAAATTGGACTTGTTGGTTTCAATTAAGGGCTTGTTTATGGAGGAATTGGGATTGGTTCTGGAGGTGAATCTAGAACACAGCTTTCGGAGCGAAAACACAACAAGGGTTAGTAAGAATAGAGCATCAATGGTTGAGAAGAGAAGTCTTTGAGGGCATGGAGATAGGAAGATGAATCTCAGCCATTGGATTGCAGTTGAAAGGGTGTCTGAGGATTGAATGACAGACGTTGAACATTGAGGAGATGTGAGCCAAGAAGGAGATGATGGCATGGTTACAAAAACTAGGATTGAAACTTGCTTCTCATTCACCGACTAGGCTCCTGCATATATAACAAGCAAAAGCATTAGATATGCATAACATCAGAGAACTGAAATTACTGTAAAGGTCAAAATAACAAAGTTCATCATCAAGATGATCAATTTTTTGCATGGTCTGAACCAAATCAAGAAATAAAATGGAGATCACAAGCTCCAAAACCCATTTGAGATTGGTTTTGTTTTATTGTTAGAAGACATGAATCAATAAATGAAATAGAGATCACAAATTCCAAAACCCATTTGAGATTGGTTTTGTTTTATTGTTTTGGAAATTATCCACGTGAGAAAACAGGGATGATCAATTGAAACAGAGAGAGATGTTTGGACAGTTGATCATAAATATTTTACCTCAACTGAATCAAATCAATAAATGAAATTAAAAACACAGATGAAAATACAAGTTGGAGAAAAGATGGATTCAAGAAAGTAACTTACACAACACCAACCAAACTTGTGAAACAGAGGAAGTTTGCAACACAGTGGTGCTCAGAGGAGGTTTTGACCTTTGTTCAATGGCATGGTCTGAAAACAAAAGACAAATCTTTCAAAAAAAATCAAGAAAAGATAAGTTGGACATAAGTGGGAAAAAGATTCCAAATCTGAGAAGGCATTTTTGAAATTAAAGTGTGGAGGTGAGGTTCAAATGTTGAAGGTCACAAGTATCTGTAATGAATTGGCATTGGAATCACAGGCATCAAAGTGTCCATTCTATTAAATAAATGAAGATATGTAATGCGACAATAATATCAAAATGATACATCCCTCTAACTAAGAAATTTTAAAAGAGCACTAATGATATTAAAAAAAAAATCAAAGCCAAAACATCGTATCACATGAGATTCAAACACCAATTAAAATTATTAGAACTCTTAATTTAAAGTTTCCATTTTTTTTTCTTATTTTTATAGAAATTAATACCCAAAAAAAAATTCCTCACACTGTTGGCCTAGTCAATGAAGCACCAATTAACAAATAGAATATGCTTCTCTCCTCTCTTCAATGTGAGTATAATAATCGTATCAATTATTTATACATAAAAATTTATAAAATAAATAATTCCTAAAATTTGAATAATCCGTGGTGAGTTCGTATAAACCAGATCTACTTTAAAGATAAGGGCAAATTACATATACCTCTCTTGAAATTTAGCTAAATTACAAATATCTCCCTGAGGTTTCGAAAATTACAGATACCCCTTGAGATTTATATTTTCATAACAAATTGCCTCCTGAGGTTTATATTTTCATAATAATTTACCCCCTAATTTGTTATGTAAATAGTACTTTTAGAGAGTATCTGTAATTTCTCAAATCTCAGAGAGATATCTGTAATTTTGTTAAATCTCGAGAGGGATATGCGTAATTTGCCCTTAAGATAAATGGTGCTCCACATTACTTTAAATAAGAAGTTGGTATTACTAAAAAAAGAAAAGTAAAAGTAAAAGTAAAAGTAAATTACTTCTATTTTTGACAAAAGAATGATTTTACTATTGTCTTTATGATTAAATATGATATATATTATACTATTAACTCATAAAATTTCAAGCAAATATAAGGGCACCTATTTTTAAAAATCTCATCAGGTGTGACAGGTCCCTTGTCCACTCTAATAAATAAATTATTATTTTTTATATGAGAATATGATTAATTATGTTAAAAAGTTAATATCTACAAAAGATATACCATTGGTGAAACAAAAGGAATATATATCTAACATCCAATAAAGTGTTACCATTTTACAATTTTAGTCATAAAATTAATAAATTTATTGGGTTTATCTGAATCAATATAAAAGCACTTAAAATAATTAAGTATTTAATATTTTTTAGCCAAAGCCACAAGTACACTACTGGTCATTAATTTAACTCTATCGTATCTCATAATTAAGTTTATTTTTTATAAATGATTTACCTGCAAAGCTTTATAAAAATAGTTAATCTCACAATGCATATTACATCTCTCTAATTTTGACTAAAGATAAAAATTACTTTATTTTAGTGAGTTTCATTTCAATTAGTGTGTGAAAGAATTATCCCAAAAAAATTAAGATTTTGTTAGTTTTACAATATAACAAAATAAGAAGAAAGAGCAGCGAAAAAAAATTATTCTATTTATATAAAAATTAATTATAAGATTCACTTTATATAAAAAAATTATATTTAATTTTATAATTGAATAATTTATTCTTAAAAAATTTTCAAAAGTAAACAGTAAGGAAAAGAAAAAGTAGTGCGTACTAGGTGGTTGTGGCGTCAATAAATGTGGACACGTAACTTGTCATTTGGCAAATGATTTCATACCCTCACTGCGGTCGACCCCAGTGAGGTATCGACCCCCAGTGAGGTATCGGTTCTGGATTAATCCAAAAAAAATAATTAATTTTTTTTGTTTTTAAAAAATTTTTCAATCAATGGGGGTGCGCCACGTCACGGGGCGCGACCCACTGGGGGTATGCAGCGATGCTCATGAATGAATATGAATTCGATTTGTTAGTGAAAAAAAGGGACACTTTTTGCTGCGGATTTCACCACTCATGCCACCTGCTTTTTACACACTATTACCTTACCACGTGGGTTTTCTAGAAAACTCACATGCATTCCAATTTTTTTTTAATTATAAATTACAATGAATCTTTGATAATTATTCTGTTTTTAATTTTTAGTTTATATTTATAAAAAATTTTAAAATTGTCATAAAAATTTATTTGATAATTTTTTTAATTTATAAATAGTTGTTTCAATTTATAAATTTGAGAAAAAAACGTTAACTCAAAAAATGAGTTTACATTTTCAATTTTTAATTTTTTTTCGAATAATTTTTTTTTCAATTAATTTTTTTTCCCAATTAATTTTTTTTTCAATTATAATGTGTGTGATCCCATTATATAAATATTTTAGGCCTGAACAAACATATTTTTTAGTTTATGTTTTTAAAATTCTTTAAATATTTTGTTCAAATCAAACGCGTTTATAATTTATGTTTTTTTTAAAATAAACAAAAACTAATTTATAAAATTTTTATAAATATGAACAAAAAACGTAAACGTTACCAAATGTTACTAATATAAAATTATTATCAAATTATACGGTAATAATATATTCATAAATTATGACTAATATAAAATTATTATCAAATTATACGGTAATAATATATTCATAAATTATGATTACAATAATTGGTATTTTATTTTTAAATAAAATGAGCACAATATATCACCCCGCTGTGGTCCCCAGCAGGACTGATTAAATAAATAAAAGGTACATTTTCCTCAAGACCAGAAAGGAAAACCAAGAAAAGTTTGGTATGGCATGGAAAAGCTGCCCATTCTTTCTATTTTTAATTTTTAATTATTATTATTTTTTAAAGAAGCACCGACACTGTGACAGATATAAATAAATAAAAATTATAAGTCAATATATTTGATCAAAAATGTTTACAAAACCATGGGTAAGAGTTGCACCCTCAAAAGTTTCTCACATTTTGGTAATTTTTCTTATCACCTCTCACTGAATAATAATTTTCTATAAATAAAAATAATAAAGCTATGCTTTGGTTTTTTTCATTCATTTTTTTAAAAAAAAAAAAAAAGCCTATCAATTGTACCATTTTTTTAAAACTTGTGTTTGGTTTCATTTTTCTGAATACAATTTTTTGAAAACTGAATTTTTTTATTTTTCATGATTTTTTGTTTTTAGTGAGTTTTTTAAAAAATTTAAGTAATTTTTTTTACTTTTTTAGATGCACCTTACTTAGATATATCTAAATAGTAAAATATTTGTAAAAAACTATTTTAAAAATATAATAAATACACAAAAATACGAAAAATGTACTGAATTTTCATATTTTTTGTTAATTAGTGTATTTTTTAAAGATTTTTTTCAGAAATATTATATTTTTTAAGTATATTTATGTTAGGGGTGTCTAAAAATTAAAAAATTGTTTAAAATATTTTTAAAAATCATTGAAAACATTAAAATACGAAAAATAAAAAAATAGAATTTTTTAAAAACTGTTTTCTGAAAACTATAACCAAACAAGCTGTAGTTTTCTTACATTAAAAAGAAATATTACAAAAAATCTCAATCTTTTGACATAACTATTACAGAAAATTATAATTTTAACAAAAATATACTGATATTCTTTTTAATAAAGTTTAAAAAAAAAAAAAAAAAAAAAAGCCTATCAATTGTACCATTTTTTTAAAACTTGTGTTTGGTTTCATTTTTCTGAATACAATTTTTTGAAAACTGAATTTTTTTATTTTTCATGATTTTTTGTTTTTAGTGAGTTTTTTAAAAAATTTAAGTAATTTTTTTTACTTTTTTAGATGCACCTTACTTAGATATATCTAAATAGTAAAATATTTGTAAAAAACTATTTTAAAAATATAATAAATACACAAAAATACGAAAAATGTACTGAATTTTCGTATTTTTTGTTAATTAGTGTATTTTTTAAAGATTTTTTTCACAAATATTATACTTTTTAGGTACATTAATGTTAGGTGTGTCTAAAAATTAAAAAAAATTGCTTAAAATATTAAAAAAATTTATTGAAAACATTAAAATATGGAAAATAAAAATGTAAAATTTTTTAAAAACTGTTTTCTGAAAACTATAACCAAACAAGCTGTAGTTTTCTTACATTAAAAAGAAATATTACAAAAAATCTCAATCTTTTGACATAACTATTACAGAAAATTATAATTTTAACAAAAATATACTGATATTCTTTTTAATAAAGTTAAAAAAAAAAAAAAGAACATAATATGTGATAGATATAAATAAAAATAATGAACGTACCATATGCTTTGGTTTTCTCAGTCATTTTTTTAAATTAAACCTGTCAATTATACTTTATATTATTTTATGTGATGACTTTTTCAATAGGGTCATAATTATTGTAAGTTATTAGCCAATGTCCAACAACTTGATGACTCATTAATTTATGTAAGTTTGTGTGCTGACGGATTTATCGAGTTTGCCCCTCTTCGAAAGTTAAAAAATCATATTTTTGTAGACAAATTGCGTATAGTTTTTTGTGTTAGTTTCAATTGTATTAATTTTATTTTTTTACCCGTTAAAAAATTAAGCAAAAATTAAAGACAAAATGGTTTAACTCCAAAATCACACATTGATTTTAGTATATTTTTTAAATATATGTTATTAATTAGACTATATTGGTACAATTTAATTCACTTGTAATTTTAATAAAAATATTCAAATTGCCCCTCCTAAATATTTTATAGACTCTCCGTTTTTAAAACTAAACCCTTTTAGTTCCATTGAAATATTTGTATTTTTTTAAACACCCATCTTTTAATTTCTATAAAGAAAAAAAAACCGTTTTTATATTACATAAATATTTACATTATTATATAAAGTATAACTCACTTGGTATGAATAAATTTGTCACACAATTTTGATTGTGAAAAAACTCACAACAATAATTATATCCTTTCTATATTACTACAAGAATAAATATAAAAAAAAAAATCACTAAATCAATAATTGCTATCCACCGCGCACCATTTTCTCACCTCGTTATACTGGTTTGCATCATAAATTTAAGTATAAATTTGAAAATAGAAATGGAAGATAAAATATAGGTAAAATGTAATTATATTTTAAAAAAATTTACTTATAAATCACATCTTGAAAAATGATGATTAGTCCCAATGATTTT